ATTGTCTAAAAATAACTGCTTTCAAATTATGAAGAAATGTATGGTATAGGGTTCAGTCTTCTTTGCACCCAAGTCTCACGAACACACACACACACACACACACACACACAGACACATAAATAGATGGAGCCTCCTGCTCAACTTTTTGTGTCCCCTCTTTTCAAGAGCTTTTCTATGAGTGTGTATTGTGCAGCAATGGCCTCGGTCAGTCAGTTAGTCAGCTCATCTACTCTGTAATTTTCAGGTGTGTATGACTCACTGGATAAGACTCACAGTCACACGGTGTCCATGCTGGCACACCTGTGCTGCTTGACAACAACCTTTTAGAGTAGTCCTGTAGTTTCCTATGATTTCAGAAACTGAGATGTAAAAGTCAGTTCACATGAAGGTTCCTGGAAATCACTGCCTAATTTGTCACTAATCATAGAGAAAATGTAGATGGTGTTCATGCTAATTCCAATTAATTACTTTTTTTTAAACATTTCAAGTAAACATGCAAAAAAAAAGTGAAATTTGTTTATAGGCAAGAATACATAGGTAAAGAATAACATTTGTGAAAATGAATATTTCCTTGAATTTAATTGGAGCAGTTCTTTCAAGGAAATTCCCCTGGAGATCAACAATTGCTTATGAACTCAACAAGACTAATTCAAGTCAAAAACTATCTCATATCCGTGTCTTTATTTGAACTGTAAATAGTACCAAATTACATAGATCTTGCTAGGAAACTTGCTAGGAAATTATCAGCAAATTAGAGACCCACAAAGTCAAACATGTCATATATGAGTCGTTCACAAATTCTCAACTTAACATACAATCTATGACATGATTATGGCATCATTAGGTTCCTTTAACATATCGTTACAAACTAACTGCAGTCTAACATTACTCCTTATAGCACAGTTGGGGCTGGACTGGAAACCAGCACAACTGTTATGAAGTTGGCGTTTTGCACAGTCGTATCTAAGCTATCCATTTCTTCACACATCATCATGACACAACTTCCACCACTGATTATCACAATGACAATGTCAAAATGTAATGATGTCATAATTACCTCACTGTTATTTGGAAAATTCCATGGGCATTTCCAAGGTGGGATCTTTATAGAGTCTTCACCACTGTGGCTCACTGAGTCATTTTACCCTCCCGTTCCTGCTCTGCTCGTGTTCTGGGACTTTTACAGTGCCTAATTATCGTCCCCACTCTCACACAGCAGCAGGTGTGTTACGTGATTGGAGTGTAATTTTTTCTCCCTGACCAGTCAGACTAGGCTGCAGGCCTAGGCTTGGAAAAGGAGAGGGCCACAGTGTACTTTGTTATTTTATCTTTAAATCAGTGAATGGTAAAGCCGTCTGTTTCATCACTTTATATTCATGTAATAAATATGCAAATGTCCATTAGATGGCAATCTGCATGAGAAATAAAGAAAAAAGAAAACTATTTGGTTTTAATCATCCGCTGATAGTGATCAATTTGACCCGGACAGACGTGATCACTATAAGCATTTTCCACCATATTACAACAACGCTTCCTGGTCTTGTGATGTCATATTAATGGTCCCAGCTACCATCATCTGTAAGATGCAAATAAGTCCCTCTGTTAACAGTTTCCAGTTGGCTGGGCCAGCAGACAACCTCAGCAGCACTTAGCTGCAGTGAGCAGTGATGCCACATATTTACCTTAGGAACTGACCTCGTTCAGAGACTGCTAAAGGTTACTGAGTATCTGTCAGTGTAATTGGTCCTTTGTGACTGCAGAGAGGCACGCTACGCCCCATTCATTCGTTTCAATTCCTGGTCTCCAAGCCTAACACCACAGTATAATCCTCTCCTCTCTCACTCTCTTCTCTGACTCTTGATCTCCCTTCCACTCTGTTTTTCTCACTCTCTCCAACTCTCATTAAAGAGTACTGCCCAGTCCTCAGTGGAGAAAGAAAAGCCACTCTGCAGGTAGTTATTTGGGATACACTTTTGGAGTGTGATTTCAGAGGCGTCAATGGCTCATAGTGGAGGGCAGCACAGTGTTACTACTGACTTTCTACTCTGGTACTTTAATGTGACTTTCAGTAGAAAAATTATGAAACCATGATGTGCTTTTCTTGGTGGCTCTGATAAATGTATGAATCATAGTTTAACTGACAGTGCTCGGCTTTGTGTTTGTGAAAATCACTCATGTAGAGCTGAAGATGTATCAGGTAGGTGTCGATCTGTATGACTGACCATGTTTTGTGGATCAGCAGGTTACAATCCTCTGTACTTAAATCTGATCTTAACATTACTTTGATATATGTATATGTGGCCTCAGGGACAGGTGCCTCATTTATGTAGTGTTAATCCCTCATGCTAAAATAAATAAAAAAATAACTAGGAATGTGGTAGAGAGCTAACCTCAATCAGAAATTGATTAACTATGAAATATTAAAAATAAAGAATAGTTTTTAATTTTAATCTATTGTTTACATTCTCAGGAGTTGCCCTTTAGTCACCAAAGAATTGTCTATACAGTGTTTGTATATTACAGGGAACAGTTTAATGTTTTGAATCTACCTTTATGTAATGTTTCTCAGCATGACGAGGGCTGTTGTCAGTCTATAAGACAAAAAAAAAACTAGCTTCAGTAGTGAATTTGTATTGAAGAACTGCAGGCCTTGGTGCACTCTGAGTAAGCAGAGCCATGATGGAGTCTGCTAAAATGAATCCATAGTGACAAGGATCAAAATCTGTCTGAATGTCAGGAAACAAATAGTCTTTCACATTATGTAATGTAGAAAAACTGTTCATTGCCACATACCATTTTCTTCTCTATGTTTATGCCACTACCTGATGGCCTTTCTAACATTTTCAACTTTGCTCACCTGTGTTTGGATAAATGTTACTTTTGTGATTGTGCAATGCCATATCTGTAATTTGTTATTTTGTGGATTCTAGTCTAATAGAAGCATATTTTGAAACACTGGTGAACCACTTGTTTACATTGGGACGGGCTAGATTTTCACATATTTTTTATATTTGCAATGAAGTAAAAGGTTTGACAAGTTCAAATGATTCCGCAGGCATAGAAGAAAACTCCTCGGAGGAGGTTCATCTATATTCATGCTCTTTCAGTTGCACAATTCACAATGTCCTTTGAGAGTGTATTGTAATTGTTGGATTATTATACACCCAAGATGATTGTTTATCTACTAATATACCACTTGAGACAACTCACATGACTGCTTGTGAGCTTTGAGATAAATTTACAGTATGTTTTTTTTCTCTTTTTAATATGATCTCTGGCAGAAAAACTCAAAGGCCTCTTTAGCATATCAAAAATGTTCCCACAACACAAGCCTCTGCAGTATGTGTATCTGAAAATGGAAATCTCCCAGTCAGACACACATACACTCACCAACACCTCGCTGTGAAATGGGAAAGACTTTGAGTTTTTACCTTTGAGTTTCTGCCTGTTAGACTTCAAACACTTCAGTTTTTAAAGCCAAACTGAATCCCAGACTAGGATGTCATGCTGCTCAAACAGACTCATCTGAACAACTCGCAAACAGCGTTAGAGGAGAGTAGATACTGTAGTGTCATGAGCACTGGCCTCAAGGCCACAGAATGCTACTATAAAGAGCCTCAGATCTATGTTAAAGGGTTAGCTCACCCATATCACATAAAACATTTTCTGTTACTAGGAGTGGAATGGATCTGTGCAGATAGTTCTGGTTTTGTGAGACATCTGTGAGGTTGGGAGCAAATATTGTTTTGTTTGTGCTCCTTAATCTATTGAAGATTACAGTACATTAAAATAATTCAACAGTAATGTGACTCTACCAAAACAATGTCCTTGTCTCTCTGGATAATCCACATACCATATAGAAGTAGTTCAATTAAAAACTGTTCACAGCGAGGTCTGTGGGAAGGGAGGGAATAGCCCTGTTCATTCTCTCTCTCAAACACACATACACATACATATACTCACAGAAACCTGCACTGTACAAGTCCTTATCTCCATGGTGATACAAAGTGTGGTGTGGAAGAGGGGTAGTGCACCATTATGGACAAACCAGTACACAGACACATACTTAAGCAAACTGAACTCTCTCATTGGCTATTTCTCACATTATTTTTGACTGACTAAGCTAGCTATAAATGGTGATTTTGTAATTTCCTGAGCCCTTCAAGGGAAAAGCCACATTGTGTGGGCTGTCTAAGAGCTGTCTTTGGCAGATTGGTCAAGATTTATCAACCCAAACATCCCTCAGTGCTTGGAACCATAGTGTCATGCCTTCTTTGATGTCATGAAGACAAATTCAGATAACAAAGACAAACCTACAGGCTAACCTAGTGCTTTCGAATATAGCCTCATTAAGATTGTTTGATCTGTGATGCTGAATGCTCTCTAACTTGATTTCTTTCCCTCTTCCTTTTTACCTATACTGTTTCTCTCTCTGTACTCTTATTCTCAGTTGCTGGGTTGTGCCCATCCAGACTGAATTGAGTTCATTTATAGCACGATTGCAATGCAGGCTGCTTTGTAGAGGCTTCAGCTGCGAACGCTCATCATCAACACATTCCTTTCCATCAAGCTCCAGCTACAAAAAGGTACTGATATCTACTATTCTTTGATTGAAGAGAATATAAACTTATGGTCTTGAACATGGTGTTGTGTGATGACAATACTGGCACAAGTATTTAATCCTCTGTGCATGTTCTATTTTACTTTTTAGCACTCACTATTTGATTTTTAACAGTTACAAGCAAGATATCTTTGCAACATGTCACAAGTCAGTGATGTAATTCTGCAGTTTTTTTTATTTTGTTGACTGCAGTTTATTCAACATTATGCCCTATTCATGTTTTCTTTTCCTTTGCTCTTTCTGCAGAACCAAATGTGTCCATGAGACTCTCGTCACTTCACTTACTGGGCATTATGTTGACCCTAATCTAAACCCATCAGCTCCCCATCCCTACCTTTCCCTCCCATTTCCCCTCCCTGCATCCTCTCCCATCTCCATCATGACCAGTCTGAAGCGTTCTCAGACAGAGCGCTCAGTTGGCGGCTCAGTGCCGGCCTCTGATGAGTTCTACACCCGACGCCTGCGACTGCCCAATGGAGGAGCGCCACCACCCCGTAGCGAGAGCGCCCACATCTCCTCTTCCTCTACCACCGGTACCAACCCCGGCGTCCCCAAGATGGGGGTTCGGGCCCGCGTGGCTGACTGGCCCCCAAGGAAAGATGGGGGAGGAGGGGGTGTTTGGCATATTACCGTTGAAACAGACTCACCCAGCTCTACCAACACCACCAGCTCTTCAGGATCAGGAAGTGGAGATAGAGAAAGACTTGGAGGAGGGGGAGGAGGAGGAGGAAGTGGAAGTGGTGGTAGTGGTAGTAGTGGCAGTGGTAGTGGAGGGGTGTCAGCTGTCACAGCCCACAGTAATCTGTCAGCTAAGCTGGGTCACCTGATAAGCCCACAGGACTCATCCATGCTGCGCAACATCCACAACACACTTAAGAACAAGATGCAGAGCAAGGGAAAGGACAATCGCTTCCTGTCACCAGATGGCTATCTGGGCTCACCTCGCAAAGGCATGAGGCGTATCCGCCAGCGCAGTAACAGTGATATAACCATTAGTGAGCTAGATGGGGACGGCAATGAGGGCTGGTCCTTCTCAGGGTGGACCCCCATGCACCGCGAGTATGGCAGCACTTCATCCATAGATAAACATGGTGTGTCAGGAGAGAGCTTCTTTGACATGCTAAAGGGATATCAGTCCTCTGAGGCCCCTGATCAGCGAAGCCCAGCTCCAGAGAGGCTAACAGAGCTCCTTACTGTGGCCCCCATAAAACAGGCTGCCCTTGACCTACCAGATGGACCTTTAGGTCCAGCTAGAGGTAGTCCTGCCAGTCGGCTGAAGGAACGAGAGAAGCACTTGAAGAGGAGGTCAAAGTCAGAGACGGGTGGAGAGTCGATATTCCGAAAGCTGCGCAGTGTGAAGGTGGAGGGTGACACATCGAGGGCTGGCTCCGATGCTGAAGATGGGGGGAAAGGAGATGAGAGTGGCCCGCCTCCCAAACCCTGGGTGTGTCAAAAAGGCTTTGCCCATTTTGATGTTCAGTCTCTACTCTTTGACCTCAATGAGGCAATCCAAAGTCGGCATTCTGGGTCCAAGCGCAAGAACACCACAACCGGTGCCTCGGCTGCTGCTGCTGCCTCTGCTTCAGCCACGTCCTCCCTCTCCTCCAATCAGAGTGGAGTGTATGGGTCACCCTGTGGCTCACAGGAAGAGTTGAGCAAGGAGGGGGCAGGAGGAGGACACCCTTCCAACCCCGCCTTGGACCCTGGTGATGACAAGAGCAATGATCTGGTGCTCAGCTGCCCTTGTTTCAGGAATGAGATTGGGGGAGAGGGTGAAAGGAACATCTCTCCTGCTAAACAGGTAGCGTTTGTGCAAGAACAGAATTATTAAATGTTGTAAAAATATGTATAAATATGATTTGTTTTATTTCCTTAAAAGATTACTCCCTGGGCCCCCTCAGTTTTAATCTTAAAACAGCAGTCTGCACAATTAATTCCTGAATTTTTGGAGCATATTGAACAAAAACAAAATTGAAGATCAATGTAAAGCTGATTACTGCATATTGAAGATGCACTGACTGATTAAATAATTTGTCAGCTTCCTCGCCTTACTTTTCCTTGTCTTTCATCCTCCAGCAGGGCAGCATAGGCAGTGGTGGGAGCTCAAGCAATTCTTCCAGCAGCACAGAGGAAGGACCTTTGGATGCCACACTCACTACTCATTTTACCAACGCTGGTGTTGCTGTGTTGGAGGCACCCAAGGACGGACCAAGCCAACATGCTGACAGGTCCAAACGATACATTGTGGAACATGTTGACCTCGGCGCCTATTACTACCGAAAGTACTTCTACCTCAGAGGTAAGCAAACGTTTGAGCTTTCTAGATTTGTATTTCTTGAGCTTAAATGTCTGTGTTTTCTATCTTTGGTGTGGAGGTTGATTGTCTTCAATGCTTTCAGAGAATTTTTTTAAAATTATACCCATAATTGGAAGAGAAAATGTCATTTTCTGCCATTTCTTTCTTACACTCAAGCTTCAACTATTTGACCTTTGGCACAATATTCAGTAGTCATGAGAATTCTGCATTAGGGATAAGAGAAAAGTTGGCAGGCAATGGAAGAAGTTTTTACCCAAGTAACCCAAAATAAATTTCTCCTCTCTTCAACATCATCCTTTTGTGTCCATCCCTCCCTGCTTGCCCCTAGAACACTGGAACTATCTGGGGGTCGACGAGAACCTGGGCCCAGTGGCAGTGAGTCTGAGGAGGGAGAAGCTGGAAGAACACAAGGAGCATGGCCAGCAGTACAACTACAGGGTCATCTTCAGAACGAGTGAGGTATATTGAAATTGACACATGACCCTCTGTACACCTTTCTCCACTGACATATGTTGTTTTATCTTTTTTTATCAGCTTGATTTGTTGATTGGTGTGTTATATTATTTGTTTTTAGTTGTACTGCCCTTTCACCAGGGTATACAATGTTTGTAGCTGTTCCCTATGGGGCCATGAATGTTCATGCATACAGATGTGTCAATATTTAGTACATTCTGTACTCAGTGATGTTACGAAGGAGCTATAATGAGTTCAAATTGTGTAGGAGTTAAAATATAGGATCTGTTCCCAGCTGTGCATATTGAAAAACCCATTTGGGAGGGGTTCCGGGGGGGGGGGTTTAAAGGCATCATAATAAGGTTGTCAAATACAGCTCAAGACCTTAGATGCCACTGCCTCCTTTTCTTAACACCACCTCAAATGATGGCATGTTTGACTTCATTTGTAATTTATTCTCCCATTTGTTTATTCACAATACTCAATCTCTAGTTTGCAGTGAGAAGGAATCTTTTGTGAATCCCTCTAGCCCTCGCTGTCATCTCCTCCAATAGACAGACTAGAGCCATAGATCCATGTCCTCATTCCCTGAGCTCAACGCCCACCTACCGTCTTTGTCAGCCTTCATCTGTGAAGGACTGAGCTGTGCCATTTTGCAGCTAAACGAGACTAAAATAGTGCCAAAGGTATTCGAGTGGAGAAGGAAAAGCATTGCTCTTGTATTGAAGCGCACCATGAGTAATAGCCCTTCCAATCTCTTGGGATGACGCACGACCTACTGTGCTATGTTTTCCTCTCTTTTCCTCCCTTCTTTTCCCTCCCTCTCTCCTCTCTAATTGCTATTTTCAGAGCAAGGAGCTGGGCAGGTATAGATATATATGTGTGTGTCTGTGGGAGTGAGTGGGATGCAGTGATGTTAAAGAGATAAGTTCAGTGTCCACTGAGGACAGAGATTGTCCTCTCGTCAGCTAGAGTGCTTCTCATCATCGGTTTGTTTAACCCTGAGGGTGTTGGCACAAACACTGGGCCTTCCAAACACTACTTGAAGACACACAAGCGCAACACACACTTATAAGTGATTCTCAAGAGCCATGGGGCCACTACAGATAATCCAGCTGTGTTTATTTGTTCATAGATAGATATTCAGGTCCTGGTTCCTCTGCTTTCCTCTTGATTAATTCAAGTCTTCCTTGAGTTTGTTTTAGCCTGAAGAACTGTCTTATACTGCAAGTTGAATTTCATTTCACAGGCCTTTAGGCCTCATCACAGGCTTCCTTGTAGCTTTCCAGACATAGACACCTACTAATGTTCTACTTGTGGTCGGAGAGCTAGCTTTGCTTATGTTGTTGCCAATCATAGGCAACTTTTAAAGAACCAACACAGCACCGAGCAGAAAGGGAAGGACCTAGCAGAAAATGCTCAGAACAGAGAGAAGAATTATCTTGAGTAGAAAACTTCAGCTAAGCTAGGCTAACTCTCATTGTGTCATTGTGACCATGCTTCTGCAGTAACATGCTCTAAAAATAAACTAAAGAGTGTTCAGGGAGTTCAGAGAATGCAAGAAATGTGTTTTATATAGTGCAACAGTGGGTTTTCTCTCTAAGGCTTTTTGACTACATGATTTGGATAATTAACTATGAGTCCACATAAATGCCATAAAGAACACCAGAGACTATGAGACAATGCAGGTCCCAAAATATATAATGATTAACTCAGGCTCTTGGGTACAATGAGATAGGAAATAGTCAAGTCATTATAGTCAAATTTCTTTTATTTTTTTTTTAAAATCATTTTCAGTTGTTTAGTCATTTACACAGTTTTACTGCAAAAGATTTTAGAGTTTTCTTATCTAAACTTGAAAAATTAGTTGTTACTCTGACCCTTGCATTTCCTATTTTCTTGTTGTTTCCCTCTGGTTGGCTGCTTCCAGCTAAACACCCTGAGAGGCTCCATCCTGGAAGACGCAGTACCCTCCACATCCAAGCATGGCCTAGCTCGAGGTCTGCCCCTCAAAGAGGTGCTAGAGTACCTGGTGCCTGAGCTGAATGCTCACTGCCTGCGCCTGGCACTCAACACACCGAAGGTCACCGAGCAGCTGATGAAGCTGGACGAGCAGGGGGTAAGAAGATGCAATGAGCAAACTGAGTTGGGATGGGTGAATTTGATTAATTCCTTTGATTGCTCATATTGGAGGAAATTCCTGTTTGTTCTGTTATCTATTTAGTAAAAAGACGGTATTACTCAGGCTTCATAATCTCCTCTTCATTCCTCAAAAATAGAATCCATTTAGCATAATTGCTCATTCTTTGAACTAAAGACACAAGTTTCTGAGCCATTATCTTGTATTGTGTGTACAGTGCATTATTTTCATTTTGGGTTTTATTAATTATTTTATGACTAGGTGAGGGGGATGTCTCATTGTTTAGCAGAACTATAAATTACTTATTTTTTATGTTTGCTTTATTGAACCATTCACTCCCATGAGACTATTATGTGGAATATAAGTGGAGAAACACATATTGGCAACACATACACACACACACACACACACACACACACACACACACCTCTTTAAAAATAAGTAATACAAAACATGCTCTTTGATACCCGTGCTCCCTGACGCAATCATCAAAAGCTGAACCTCTGTAAATGTCAACATGATTTCTCTGGAAAATGGCACTGCGATCACTGAAGAACATCCCAAGGTGGCTATTCTTAAAATGCCAACATGAGTTCTCCCTAAAATGTCAACCTGGTTATTCTAACATGATTTCTACACAATAATATGCTTGTGTGCCCCCTTTTTCATTGCAACAATGACTGCTCTCTCTCTCCACAGCTGAGTTTCCAGCGGAAGGTGGGGGTGATGTACTGCATGGCAGGCCAGAGCAGCGAGGAGGAGATGTACAACAACGAATCAGCTGGTCCTGCACTAGAGGAGTTCCTTCATCTACTTGGGGAGAGGGTCAGACTCAAAGGCTTCACCAAGTACCGAGCTCAGCTGGACACCAAGAGTATGTACATACATGGAAATTATAAGTTCTCTTAGAAGTACCGAGGAAAAACCTGTGTTGTTGTTAAACTGACTCTGAAACTAATGCCTGAGCCCTAGCAGCAGGGTTACTGCAGATTGACACTGTGTAGAAGTTCTCATCGATTGAAGGAGTCTTGAGATCAGTCGCTTAGCAAGCGTTTGATGGATTGTGGCATGTGGGAGGTGACCATCAGCACTGACATGATGTGTGTGTTCAATGCCTGAAAATGCAATGTGATATTCATATTAGCAGAATCACTGCCAGTTCAGAGGTCCAAACTGTTTGATAAATTAAGACAAATTAGTAAAATACCAAACTGTACACCAGGAAAGTGTGTTGCTCTGCACCAGCAAAGCACAGGTTTCACCCTCAGGGGGAGGAGTACACAGGAACACTTCTCTTCTTGGAGACTACCTCATTAATTAGTGGTGTTTACAGACACAGATCTGACGGTAGTTGAAGCCACTGTGGGTAAACCAGGTACATGAGCAATCCATTCTTATGTGCTAATGAGAGCACACCAAATATACACCTTATATTCTAAAGCTAAAGCTCTTCTTACCTAGTATATGTCCTCTCAAATAATCTAAAATCAATTTTAACATCTGGGTTTTCATTAGGATACAGATGTGCACTGTGTGGAGTGAAATGAGAAACTGTACTGAAATAGATTATATAAGGAGAGTTGGAGCATTTGTCTGTGCCATTGACGTTGGTAATTCTTGCAGTCTGCACAATGCCAAAGTGCAATGGGAGTGGAGCACACATCTTTCAAGCCCATTTATGTCCATATGCATGTGTTTTTTAAATATGGCCTCTACTTCTCTCCTCTGCACCTCAGTCTGTCTACTTTGATTCCTCTGGCTTCCTTTTCGGTGATTCTTCAGTTTCCTCTTGGTGCACTGCCTTCAAAACAAAAATGCCTTCAACTCCAGACATGTGGCAGATGGCCTTTGGTGTCATATTACTCTACTGGGGAAAATGATACTGATACTGTTGTTTTTCCTCCGTACCTCTCGCCTTTGCTTGACCACCTCTGTGATTGCTACAAATAAGATATATATTTATATTTTTACTCCCTCGATGACTTTTCCAAGCCTGTGTTTGATGCTCTTCACCATACTATCCTTTTATCAATTAAATAATCCCCCATAATGCTTTGAGAGACAGAAACTCTCCCAGTCACTTTTTGTAGGACATGCAATACATCCTTTAGTAACCTAATAAATGAATTACAGCCATGCAAAGCGCTCCCTGTGGAAAGGTAATGTAGCTAGGTCAAGTATGGCCTTTTAAACACCTTGTGACTGTTTTGTTTACTGTTCACATTGATAGCAGATGAACACAAGGAACATATGGATGATATTTGGTTATAATTGCTCATACTACAGTAGTTTGGAATGGGAATGTTTCTGAGATAACTAAATAATAAATACTGTTTTGAATGATTTGATTGTCAGTTTGATTGTTTATGGAAAAGGAGGTTTAAAAATTTCTAGGTTGTATTTTGATACAGCTTTACAAAGTACAGATTTTATTCTAAATTAGAATTTATAAGTCATTATGAAGCTCTTTCATATATATTCTTACCAAAAAACTTGGTTATACAATGTAAATGATTTTTCTAAATCTGATGTGCTGAGCAAGAAACCCAAACCAAACCAATCTGAAGATGGTGGCCTAAGATCAGTTCCAATCAAATGACTTTGTGATCTGTATTTAAAACCATGAGGAATTCAAATGTAATTGTTTCCCCCTCAGCTGACTCGACGGGCACCCACTCCTTATACACCACTTACAAGGATTATGAGATCATGTTCCATGTGTCTACCATGCTGCCCTACACACCCAACAATAAGCAACAGGTATGTTAATATATACAAACACATTTATAATATGTGAAGTTGTTACAAATATGTAACATGCATGTATTTTCTATATATCTGATTTGATGTAGCTCAACATCTAACTTCAGTTTCTCCTGCTGTTCTTGAACTTTTCCAGTTACTGCGGAAGCGTCATATTGGGAATGACATTGTCACGATTGTGTTCCAAGAACCCGGTGCACTTCCCTTCACTCCCAAAAACATTCGCTCACACTTCCAGCATGTCTTTGTGATTGTGCGGGCACACAACCCCTGTTCTGACAACAGCTCCTACAGGTGAGATTCAACAGCACCACATGTTGTGTACTTTATGTATACATGAATTATAGATCTTTTTTTTAAGAGACTGCTGTATTATGGGACACAGAATATAATGGTAGAAGATTGTGAGCTGAAATATAGATTATTAAGATTGCAGTATTTGAGTCCAGATATTTGGCAGGGGTTTGTGTGAGTAAGTGACTAAACAGAATGAAGAAATGCCTACTAACAGAAACAAATAGTTAGCTGAAAGCTTTGGAAATCCACTAGCAGCTGAATTTACAGGTTAGGTTTCTTTCAGGTGTTAAAACTGCATTAGACAGACAAAGAAGTAGACTGCTATGTAGAGTTTATGGTATTTGAAGTACCACACAACAAATCAATTAAGAAATGATATTTTTGTTGTGAAATATTGTGTACCTGCCGACCATTTTGTGTTATTTTTCCACTGTCCTTACCAAAGAACGGGGGGAGGGTGTCTTACAATGTCTCATCTTATATTCAGGCCACTGCATTGCATTTGTTTTTTTTGAAAAAGTCTAGATAGAAACTTTCGTTAGACTTATTATATGCGCATGATTTCTCATGAATCATTTCCTGTCACTGCTGAAACAATAACGCTCTTATCTGTCGGCTCAGAGAGTTGTACAGCTCTCATTACCTTTGCAGTTCCATCACTCCATCATGGAGTAGGCTGTGAGTGTTTAGAGCCCTCTCCACAGCTCACGATTTATTACCACATTGTCAGAGATGTGTAATATGAAATACAATGTGCCAACCTGGAGTCATTTTAAAGGAATAATGAACATTCTCCTTCTTCTCTATTTTCCTATTTCAAACTGTTCAGCTATGAAGGACATTTCATTCTTTGTTTATTCCTGCTTCTGTCTTGTTATCTAGTGTTCTGTCATTCTCTCTTATCTTGCCCTCTATGAGCCTTCCTCTCTCTCATACTAATGGCTGTTTTAATTGCTGTCTGAGCACATTGTGTGAGGTCTTAATTGCCCCCCATGGGGCTACTTCGTTACTGAGCAACAACACACACACTCAAGAGCCCTGCCACAGAGTGACTATAGAGCAAATACTATTACACATGCCTTTTGTGATTCACAAATGTGAATTAAGTTTTTCTGAGGTGAAAATACACAGTCGAGGTGAAACATCTGGTCTTGGAGGTAAATTACGATTCATAGTCACCACAGGGAAGTTGACTGAGTCATAATGTTATAAAGTAAGGATGACCTAAATGCTTTGAAGCTTTGGTGTGTTTCCTTTAGGTTTCAGAGGACCTTCCTATACGCACAGGGCAGGGAAATACAGCATACTTCATAGTTCTATTTAATACGGCTATGCTCTCTACAGGGCTTCTCTGCCAGATGTACCTGTTACTTTATGTGAAGGCTCAGAGTCTTTTCCCAGATTCACCTGGGCTGCCGCCCCAGGGGATCTGCAGGTTTTCAAAAGTCTGAAAAAGCATCTTTCTTGGTCTTGAATATTTTTTTCCTTGCCTGCTGTAGACAGTAACAGTGGTTGTAACTTTGTAATGTGGTTTTGTGGGCTGTGAGACTGCTGCGACAGTAGATGGTGTGTGCAGGAGTTTGTTCAATCCTTTTTTTTTTAATGTGGTTTTAGTCAGCACCATCAGTCCTGTAGCACCGTCACTACTGTCACTACTGTCACTGCTGTCACTGCTGGCTACAGTTGCTAGGAAAGACCTAATTTAAGGAAAGATTCAAATGAATTTGAATTAATAGTTTTAAAATGGTTAATCCATCCCTGAATATTGTGCCACTTATCTGGCTCCAGGATATGTTAATTGATTAATTGTTTTACCGGAAATTATACCAGAATTGTTATTGTTATACCACACACAAACGATTTAAAATATAAATGTCAATACATTGATGCACATTGGGGTCCAAAAATCTGAGACCACTTTCATATCCTCCCAAAATCAAGGCAGCGCGTTTTCCCTCTGAGACATGCATCTCGCCAAGTTCCTGAATAGTCCAACAACACAGAGATTATTCCCATACAGGAATATTTCCTCTCCAACTATTTGAGGTGAACCAGGCCACATGTTTTCTGTTATTTATTAACTGCTCAAATGCTGTTGCTATCTAGTATAATTGAATGTGATTACCTGTTAATCCCAACTACTTTAAAAAACTACTCTCAAATAATGGCTGTCTTAATGTCTGCAGATAAAATGGATTATGATATGAGAAGTACTGAATTTAAGATTACAGCACTGCTGAAAGAGATACTGTTTGTGCGACCGCAATTATGGTGTTTTTTCTTTAAAAGAATAAATTGGTATTGTGTCATTGTAAACAAACACTTAACACATGTTGAAAAGTAAATGTTAAGAGTTCATCTCCAGAAAAGTGATTAATGCAACAATTCACAGATGTCTTCAGGGCTGAGTGCTTAGTATGCAGTAGTTTTTTTCACACACACATGTGTCTGAAGTAATGAGACTGTACGAGACTAAACAATAGTGACTGTATGACTGAGCTGAGCGTAACACCCAATGAATATATTTTGTATGGTGTAAAAAAAGGACTAGCTTCCTTGCACAGGTTGATTCTAGTCCCAGGATTTATTTGGCTTTATGACAACTTCATGTGGCCTCTTTGCCTCACACATTCATCTTGTCCTGTGTTCCACTGTATATTATTGATGGAAAACACTACTATTGCAGGTCTGAGGTCATTCCTGTAGTCATCAGTTTCCAATTATCTATGTAGTAGTTTAATTGAATCTTTAACTTCAAATCTGTCCTTTTAAATATTTATTTCTCTCTTCCAATGTCAAGTCCACCTTAGCTTAAAAAAGCTGCTACTCAAACCTAACTGGAAATACTGCATAACAAGTGACAAGTCGACAAAAACATGTGATGCGTACCTTCCCCACATCCACACCCACACACACACACACCTCTGAGCCTCCAACTCCAATAGGTATTGACATGTTCTTTTTCTTGCCCTGGCTCAGTGGGCAGCAGGTTGTGGATGCTGGAGGAGCAGCGCTGCCCACACACTGGATATTTATAAGACCACAAATCACTGAAACCACAGGAATGTGCTCTTTCATTTCTACTGCCAACCCTCCTGCCACGAGGATCACACAGCAGCCTCACAGTCCAGCAATCCCCACTGCACCCCTCTCTCTCTCTGGCTCTCTCATTCTCACCCTCTTTTCTCATTCGCTCTCTTTTTTTCTCATTCATGTTTTTTTTTTCTGATTTGTTCTCTGTCCTGCTTCCCTCTCTCTCTCTCTCTCTCTCTCTCTCTCTCTCTTTCCATCACTTCCTTCTATCCTGCGTGATTCACAGGTCTTTGGTTGACTGACTCACAGGTGTTCGAGATCAGTACAAGTGCTTTTAGAGCTCCAGTGTAATGTTTTGAGTGATGTTTGTAACTGTTAGGGAAAATTCTTATCGGTGGTGAAGAAAGAGCGCTGGAGTCCAGGATGTCTTATGCTGAGGATGTTTATTGATGCTTGATCAAGGAGAAAGGAGGATTCATCAATACAGGCTTCTGTGCATGATGTCACCTCAAATCTGAAGCAGGAACCCCTGAGGATAGTCTTTATACACTTAGAGAGATTACTATAGACAGCTTACACTCCATAATTGGTCAAATATCTAAAAGAAGAGGGAGAAGAGGGAGAAGAGGGATGTGTGAACACACTATTGGTTCATTGACCATAAACAAGGAAACATGACCATATCCGCCCATGTGCTGATTCATAGAACACCCAGCCATTTGTGACTGACCATCCAAGGTCTGTTGTTATCAATCGTGGCACCAGCAGTATCAGCAGCAAACCACAGCTGCGTCTGGAGGAGCTGCCTGAGTAAAGTATGTATGAACTGACATAGTGATGCCACAGCGATTTTCTTCCACTGTTTGAATTGTCCTCTGTGATGGCAGCAATGATCGAGATAAGGTTCTTATTGAAACTACACAAGCAGTCAAATGAAAACTGACACAAATTCTTCCCACAATAGCTTCAGAGATGTTTATGTTAACATGTTTGTATGACCCTCCACCTACACATGTGTACACACACCACCTTCTTTCCTTCTTCTACCTTATGCTTTGTGGGGAATGTGGGAAATGCAAGCACCATTTAGACACACTGGCAACTACTGAGGGTATTATCAGCTTCTCAGCATTCATTTACCAGCACTACAGTATAAGAGTCTGTTTTCACTCTCCCAAGGCAATTTCAGCTAGAAAAAAAAACATGCTTCCTCTCTTACCCACGTCTGTCACAAATAAGGAAAGGTGGGAAATGAGGTGTCAACAATTTGACGGTTAGTATAATTGAACACCGCACGTCTCCGGTGAGGACAGGTTGTCTCTAAGGTTTGTTTAGAAATATGTGGGAGACGTATTGACTTTAGATGCTTATTAGACAAAGCGATTAATCCTGGTGTCAACATGTGTGCTGATGCATGTCACCAGGGATGTGTGTGGGGTGAGGGCTCTGACTTCCAGTGCTACCTCTTGTCAGCCGGTAATTATCACCTGAGTGAAGATATGTGATTGAGCTCATTTGGTCATGAAGAGGTTGAGACCAGGACATCTGACCCATGTACAGACATAGTCCTCTTTAGGCCCTTATTTCTTAACTGCCTCAGACTGAGATATTTAACAGATCGGGGCATAAGTCTGTTTGTCTTTTCTTTTCTTTTTTTCCAATGAGCAATCATCCCCATATCTTCTCACAGTCTCCCACACAGTCTTCCCTTCTCAGCCACATTTTCCTTTTCTCTCACTCTGGGTTTTCTGGGGCTTTGGGCAGGAGATTTCGAATAGCAGTCTCCCCTCATCCTCCTCCTCTCCTCTCCTTCCTCTCCGTGGCCGCTCAGCTGAGTTCCTGACATACCAGACAGGGCAAACAGTCTCAGATGGCCATTCCAGGGACTTAATGAAAGGAAAAGGGAGATGAGAGGGGAGGTGGGGAGCAGCGAAAACAGGGAGGTATAGGACATGGAAATGAAATGCATGCTTTAAGGAAAAGGCAGCAAGTACACATAGCCTCCACGCTATAGTAAAGTCATTAATACTTATTATGAACATCATTTGGACACATAACTCTGTTTTGAGGTAATAAAGAAAGCAGCAGACGACTCATTTGAAGTACATTATACAGAAACCAAAAAGATTACTTTAGCAAGAGGAAAAAGGAGGCGAATGGAACTAACTCAGACAAAAACAGACTAAATTTATTAGTGGGAAAGGTGTCAGTGTCCTGAGATATGATATATATACCAGTCAAGGATTTTGTATTTTTATGTGTTCCCATATTTGAGTAAGCAAACGGCATTTAGCTTTATATCGAACATTATCTATGTTGCCAAATCTGGCTGCCACTATTTTTTTTTTTCTTAACTTTTAAATCTTAATGACATTAAACCTTCAAGCTTTGGATGTTTGGATGTTGATTTACTGTGCAATAAAACACTGAATTTAAGCCATATGATCTGTAATGTCTGAGGAGAAACACCCAGCAGCCTAAATTTGCCAAATTGTTGGCCCATCTGGAACAACTGATTTGTTAACCATTAATCCTTTTCTTCTCTCCTCCCACTTTTCCTCTTTTCCCCTCTCATTTTTTCTTCCTGGTCTACTTCTCCCCATGTAGTGTGGCGGTCACTCGTTCCAAAGACGTGCCCTCATTCGGCCCCCCAATCCCAGAGGGTGTCACCTTCCCCAAGTCCTCTGTGTTCCGGGACTTCCTGCTGGCCAAGGTCATTAATGCAGAAAATGCTGCTCACAAGTCACACAAGTTCCGTGCCATGGCCACCCGAACACGCCAGGAGTACTTGCGTGACCTGGCTGAGCGCCACACCACCAGCACGCCCATTGACCCCTCTGGAAAGTTTCCTTTCATCTCACTGGCCCACAAGAAGAAAGAGAAGAGCCGGCCGTACGGAGGGGCAGAGCTACGCAGCCTGGGGGCGGTGACCTGGCTGGTCCATGCTGAGGATCATGGGACTGGAGGGGAACTGGAGGGTCTTCTGGCCATGTCCAATGACTTTCTCATCCTGTTGGACCAAGATGCCAAGGCTGTGGTGTTCAACTGTGCCACAAAAGACGTGATTGGCTGGACGCTGAGCAGCCCTGCGTCTTTGCGGATTTTCTATGAGCGGGGAGAAAGTGCGTCTCTGAGGAGTATCAGTAATAACACTGAGGATTTCAAAGAAGTGGTCAAACGTCTAGAGGTTAGAAGACACACCGATACATTACATTTGTGATAAGACTGATGGTAGTGTGCTCGGCATGCTTAGATAATGAAATTATAAAACCTGTTCTCACTTGTAACTTTCTGCTTTATTTTCATAATTGTATCAGTAATTGACATTTGCTGGGCTTTTTGCTCTCTGCTGGGCCACTTCACATTCAAAATCAAATTAGGTCTGTTGGTGCCAAGTTTATTTGCCAAGAGAACTGAAATAATTTACCCTATTACCAAATGGGTGGCACCACTTATGCTGCAAAATTGTACCAGACTCCATGTGGTAGTTAGAGGACACTGGATGAGACAAAAAACAATGGCTAAAGGTGACAAACATTCATTCACATAGAGCAGGCAAGTACTGAGAAAGCAGATCAATGGACATAAATGCTGCTGGCTACCATTGATCATTTACCTGGCCCACTCACAGTCTCTCCTACTATTCACTGTTGGCTGTCAGTCTGCCAAAATGACAACATTTTTGTGTCTACATGCCAAAGCTGCTGTCTCATTACTGGTCTCAGCTTATTGAGGGAGTTTCAGAAACACCTCTGGACAACATACTCCTAATGGCTCATACACCTACACATACAGCGAAGTGGTGATAGCTCTTCCTTAGCTGTTTCCATGGAAACTGGTTAGAAAAAAAGGTGTTTTCTTATGTCATCATCAGTGCTTTAGAATACTTTCATTTCCCCAGTCTCCCCCTACCTTCAAACTGTGCGTGTGTGTGTGTGTGTGTGTGTGTGTGTGTGTGTGTGTGTGTGTGTGTGTGTGTGTGTGTGTGTGCATGCATGTGTGTGATGGCTTTTATCATGTATTTATGTAACCTGGATTGAGTCCACCATCTTTGATTTGCACACATGCATACAAACATACTTGAACAAACACACATCATTACTTGGCTCAGGACTCAGAAGTGTATCACTTTCATGTTGCATTTTATGCATCTGGCGTTAATCTTCAATCATTTGGACTACTTCAGTGCCAGAGAGAGGAAGAGAAGTGGCCTTGGGCGACTTGCTTTATGGAACTTGTCTCTTTCTCTCTCACTCCCTCTCCCTCTGTGTAAGTCTCTGTCTCTCTATCTCTCTTGCTCATGCTCTTCCTTTTGCTCTTTTTTTTTTTTCTCCTCTTGTTTACTGTTTATCGTTCCCTTTTTTCTTATACTCTCTTCCTCTCCCACGCACACATTCAGAAACATCAGAGAGCATCATAACAATTCCTATCAGGTGCCAGTCTGCAGCATGATTTATTCACGCTTCCCTGTGAAGGTTGGCTTCTATAGAGCAGTTTGCTAACGTCCTGTTCAGACATAAAAATGCAAGGCACCTTGAAGATGCCAGGCGTATCACTAGAGAGAGGGAGGGACGGATCACCTGTGACTGATCACAGTGAAAAAGTAGTAGAGATAGAGGACTGTTTTTTCGTCGGCAGCCTTTTGCATTTTGACAAGTATGCAAGCTGTGTCTCCATTAAAACAATTTTCAACTTTTTCACCGGGCACTCTTTGAGAAAGAATAGCGTCCGCTTTGCAGCGCTCCCCCACCCTTTCCTGAATGCTAAGAGTCACATCCTTCCATGAAAAAACATGAAGTTCAAAAACGGGTCTCCTGAGCAACGCATCTCTGTGTGAACACAGCCTTAAGTGTCACAGCAAAAAAAACACATCTGCTTTCATTCCTGTCATCTGTCAAGTGTATGAATGTACGTGCACGTACATCTAGTGAGAGGTGTGCCACTTATATTGAAGCACTAATTCATCTTTATTTATGGCCATAAATCTCTAACGGATCACTTGAGTTGTTTAAAATAAATCTCTTCTTCAGCCTAAGAGGAAGCATGTGAACATATGCACTGAACATGTACATACACGCACGCCAAACCGCAACCACTTGTACGCACAGTGTTTGGTTGTTGTGAAAATTTGACTGACGTTGTGGAAGATGAGATGAATTTACCTCAATTTTTTTTTCTCTCTGTACTTCCCTTTTTTTCCTTTACCCCCCCTTCTAACCCCTTTTTGCTCTTTGTCATCATCTCTCCTCTCATCATTACTGTCACTCCTTCTCTCATACTCTCATTGTGCAATACTCTCTGCCCTTCCGATGTCCAGCTCCTGACTAAAGGCTGTGAGACATCAGAGATGACACTTCGTCGAAATGGCCTGGGGCAGCTTGGCTTCCACGTGAACTATGAAGGCATCGTGGCTGAGGTATCCCTCTGTACAATACCCAAATGTTCCTCTGAAAATGTACTCTAAAACGATCGAGTAAATCATTGGGGTAGCACGTGCTTACATAGAACATCTGAATATGCTTTATTAGTTGTAGTCTACTTATTAATGTGATGAATCTGTGAAAACAATTTTTTTTTTTTTATTGAATTAGTTCTTGATCTGTATCTTTGAAGCTGCTTTATCTCCGGTTTATTAGAGAAATCTTTACACCATTGCTCTCCCTCATATTAGACATGTGATTGGATCATAAGAGTGTAGCTGCCAGGCTGTGGATGTCATTTGCTTGCATGCGTTGTTGTGCAGTGTCTTATATTAGATGTGCTAGTATCACACAGTCACACAACAGCAGAAACAAATGCCAATTTATTTATTTTTTCAATGGAAAAAACTACTTTTAAATAAACCAGGAGTTGGCATATGTGGACAGTTTGGCTTTCCATCTTATTACTGTTTGGAGAATTATGCATCTTACCACTTCAGCTGTAATGCAATCAAATTTTGTTACTATAGGTGGAGCCGTACGGCTACGCCTGGCAGGCAGGACTGCGGCAGGGAAGCCGATTGGTAGAAATCTGCAAAGTTGCTGTAGCAACACTGACCCATGAGCAGATGATCGACCTCCTGCGGACCTCAGTGACAGTGCGTGTTGTTATCATCCCACCACATGATGACGCCACTCCACGCAGGTAGGTGGGATGGTACTTATATAAGGCACTTATTTAATATTACTATTTTCCAGAGGTGGTAAACAGATGAGCTCTTCTTTTGTTCCGTGGTATGCACTCTGTCATCAGGATTCACATTATTTAAAGAGACAATAATATTTTAAACCTTTGAAATCCCTGTGAGACAAACGGAGTCTAACTAAACATCTTTGGTCCCTCTCTACAGAGGCTGTTCAGAGCTCTATCGAATGCCTGTGTCAGAATACAAGGGCAGCAGCAGCGATAGTGGCTCCTTCGAATACAAGTTCCCCTTCCGTAGCAACAACAACAAATGGCAGAGGACGTCCAGCAGCCCTCAGCAGTCACTGACTGCCTCGCCACAGCCCCACACGCCCAACCGCGCTATCAGCCTGGGTAGTTCTGTGGGGAAGACGCTGTCAGCTGAGAGGCTGGAGAGAGGCGCCGTCATCCCACGCAGCGTCAGCAGTGATGGTCGACCCCTGGACACCAAAAGGTTTGAACCTGTCCACTTTTTAAATATGGATCAGTGGAAAATCACATTTATAGTAGGGGGGAGGGTGGGAAAGGTTTCCAAAAGAGAATACAAACTGGAAAATATGGATTTTGAAGGCCAGAACTCTCGCAGCTGGTGAAGTAATCATTGAGTCATTGGTATTTTGACAGTTTTCTTTTTTTTCATGCGAAATAATGAATATTTGCAGCTTCTATTTTCACCTCTAAGACTCAGGTGAAATGAGATTCTGCATGCTAGTGTATTGACAAACCTCATAAAAGGCAGCTGGTGGGTATATAGCAGAAACTTTTAAGTATTCACAACATTTTTTTTTTCTCCAGAATATGTGGGAACTGGGATCACAAAGTAGCAATCAATGGAATTTCCTCTGAAGGGAAAAACTTTTAACTTTTACAATGCTTTGCTTTGTTTATTTCATCTTCCTTTAGCTCCTCCATTTCCATGCGCCTGTAAATCCTCACAGTTCCTGTGTGTATGTGTCATTGTATGTATACCAGGATGTCTCCGGGCAGTGAAAGCTACAGCCTGGCCTCCTCCCTGGCGTTGGGTCGCTCCCCTCACAATCGGAGCTCTCCAAGCAACTTGTCTTGTTCCAGTGACGCCTCCGGAAGCTCTGCTCATTGGAGACAGAAGTCCATGCCTGAGCAGTAAGGAAGAGGAGGGAGGGGGGTTGTGTTTGTCTGTGGGCTAGTGTCGGATTATTTTTTATGCAGATTTTGATGTATCATATAAAAAATAAAAAAAAAGCAAAAAAGGTCCCCCAGTTTCACAAAAAGGTTTCCTGCTGGCTCGAGGCTCTTATTTTTCTTATTCTTAACCATAGAATGTTTATTACATGTCTGTTTTTTCTCAGTAGCTGATGCATTATAATGCAATGGTACTTGTCAGTTTTCATCTTTCGAAAGACTGAACTCATCTTGTGAGACTATTTTCAGTGTTGCCCTCTGCATTTAAGAAGCTGATTTATTCATTTCAACCCAGAAAGTTAAATTTGCATATTCATATTTTATTATTTGCAATATAGCAAAAGCTGGCTTGAAATGTATTAATTTGACAGTTGTTTCGGTGTATGACAGGGTAGGAGAGTGAGGTGCTAGAATTTGTGTATTTGTCTCTGGGAAACGTCTTTTTTTTTTTTTTTTTTTCTTTCTTTTACATCCACCCACTACAGCCTGTGGGAAAATCTATTATGTTTCAAAGGCTGTTATTCTATCTTTTCTTGCTCTGCATTTTTAATAAGAGGAGACACTGATTTTAAGCTAATAAGCTTATTTTAAAAACAAAGAATTCTTTCTGATTCTGGGCATGTGTGCTCATATACCAGGTTTGCAGGCAGCCGCCATTCTCCCATGTCTGCGGAGAGACGAGAGGTGGTCGGAGACGGCGGGTGCAGTGGGAAGTCCACTCCCAATTGGTCAAGAATGGAGGAAGGGGGAGGAGCAGAACGAGGGTCAACAGGTGAATATATCTTCTGTTGAAATAGTGGAGCTAATACAGAAAACTTGGTAAGAAAGGAATGTGCAGTGGATTAATACTGCAAGTAGATTCTATTTTTTTCAGAAATGTAAATATATTTACTCGTGCTGGTTTTATAAACATCATCTATTGTGTGTGTATGTTGTTATACATGGGAGGAATGTAAGGATGCTTGACTCTTGAATAGCGAGGGAGGGAGTAACAGTGCAGGAAGGAAATCATCCAAATATATATTCATATTACTAAAACTTTTGAGATGACAGGTATGCAGAAGAGTGTGTGCGCATGGTGTTTGTGTGTGCCTCCTCATTTTTTGCAGCGGCCTCCTCCTTCCAGTGCTGAGATCCGAACTCTGACAGAATCCACACTTCTTCTAAACAGCACTTCTCTTCCCATTCTTTCCCCCCCTGTCATCCTCTTTCTCCTCCTACTCAGCTAGCTCTGAATTATATTGCCTTCACAGAGAAGGTCTTGATGTCTCTGCAAACAGACAAAAAAGGTGGAAAGATGATGAGACAAACAGAAATAGCAAAGAGAGAATTATTGAATGGGGGTGTTCAGTCACTGATCTCAATTACAATATAAAGCCTTGTCTCTTGTCACTCTCTCTCTATTCTCAAGAGAAAGAGAGAAGGGGGCAATTTCTTTGTTTCCTATCAACACAGTTGGCCAAACTACTCTTTGTGTGCCTTTCCTTCTCTCCCTCTCTCCCTCCAGTCTGTTCCTCACTCTCCACTGCCATTTATGTTTGTCTCTTTGTATCTTTGTGTCTTTTTATGCTCTTGTACACTGGCTTTCATTTAATTATGAGTATTCTCCCATAAACTGTTTTTTGGGGAGTTTTCTTCTTGTTTTCCAGCTCAGTCTCAGAAAGCCATAAAGACTACATGCGCCTCTACCGCTCCTCTGATTCCCAGCAGGATGTTGCTTTGGTTGATTGTTGACCAGCCTACTTTCAGCCATGTCCTCAACCTGTTTCTGACCGCCACAATCACAGAGAAGGGCCACCAGTCTTTAATTTTGTGGTTGTTTATAGCACTTAAGTCTTTATTGGTCAGGGCGGAACAATGCATGCTGGGCCAGCTCAGCCTAAGTCAGCCAAGTGTCCAGCCGTACACAGTCCACTTTGCTGTCTCTGTGGTTTAGGGTTCTGTCCTTTTCTCTTCCTCCCATTTTACCCCCTTGACCCGCTAGTCTTCAGCAATGATGATGTGGCCACGCTTTGTCCAGAAATAACACAAGTCATGCAGAGGGCAGGAGACTCACTTTTGCTCTTTTCATCTCTTAATTCTTGTCATACACAAACATTAACTTAGACCTTAATGTAGCCTATGCAGGGTTTTGCATTAACATAATTACTGCATCAAGAATTCCTGTTGCAGCTACCATTTAACACAGCATTTGCTGCCTTTTCTTTAGATACCCTGTGGCAGGTTTATGGTTAATTCATGCATTGGCTGGTGAGATGCAAAAAAATTGCTATCCCATTATTGTACAGCGACTTTTATCTACCTAGCCTACAGGAATGCACACATTAAGCCAAGCTGCTGGGGATTGATGCTTTTGTTTTTGTCGTGAAATGGCAGTCCTTGCATACCAACACATCTGGTTGATCAATCGCATCTCAAAACTCTTAAGAAACAAAACAGTATATCACACACAAGCATGTAGACTAATGTAGAGCATACACAAGCACAAGCACTCAAACAACCAAGCACGCACATGTGCAACCGTCTCTAATTAGTGCAGAGAACCCTGTGGGTCGCTGTGCAGAGAGAACTATGCAGAGTAATGAATATTCTTAGTGAGATATGAGCTGGTTCACTACATTACTAGATTCAGGCCCAGCAGATGTTATGATACCTCCCTTAGCTTTCCCTCTCATGGTGCTGTGGTCATTAGCTGCCTGCTCTGTATGTCTTGTTGCATAACATCTAGACAATTACACAACAGTCCCATTTATACCCCGAGTTTTGCTTCAGGACACATACACACATTCTCTCACGTGGCACAGCTTGCCCAGAACAAACAAATCCAGCAGACACAGCCTGGGGATACATTTCCGTCTGATGTATGTTGCATTTGATGACAAGTGATTTGTGTTTTTGTTTCGAGGAGATGGCAGAGGCAGAATGAAAACTATGTCAGTGTCATGAGCCTCCTGGAAGCAGGCGTGCTGTAGTAGCAAAACACACATAAATGAGCAGAGCGGGGGGGAACAACTTCTCTGTCGAATCATCAACAAGTCATCTGTTTGCACCGCAGGGTCTATGCATGTGTTTGTCATCAGCTGTGTGTATTGGTCTGTTTGTTGCAGAGGCCCCAGTCTCCAAGTCTGGTCAAGGCTACTCTGGAGCTCCTCGCATCCAGAGGCAAGAGCAGGTCATCCACCTGTCCCCGAAGAAGGGCAGCCAGGTCAGAATTCTGACAGTACTGTTTAAACGATTTCTGAATCTCTGTTTGCATATAGTCTTAAAGTTAGCATAGTTAGCATTCTGTTAGCGCAGTTATACTAATACTTTCTGAGTCTGATTTTTTCGAGTTGATATTTTCACTAACATGGAAACCTCTTGCTCTTCCACTGTTTCTGCTCTGGCAGTCCGACGGCCCTTACTCTGGTCACTCCAGCAGTAACACTCTATCCAGCACAGCTTCCAGTGGGGGCCACAGTGACAGTGATAAATGGTATGAACTGGGAGTGGGCGGAGGCTCCGGCGGTGACCAGGGCGATACAGAGCCCAATGGCCTGGGAGGAGGAGGTTATCTCCAGGGGGCGTCGGCCGACAGTGGCATTGACACCAGCTCCTACGGAGCCTCGCACCACGCCCACCCACACTCTCATCATGGCAGCGCCACCTCCCTGCTGGCTCCCAGCGGAAGCAGAGAGAGCAGGGAGCGGTCAGCGTCTCCGTGGCACAGCCCCACGGAGGGAGGCCGCAGGATGCTGGAGAGGTCGCCTGCTGCTGCTGAGTCCCCGGGCCCTCCAGGAGAAAGGAGCCTGGACGGGACAGGCCGAAGCCCACCTACTCATCTCCTAGTTCGAGATAGCAGCACCTACAGTCTGAGTGATGCTGGTTCGCACTCAAGGTCTGTCTTTGTGTACTTGCTGGTCATCTTTCAGTGGTTGTGTGAGAGGGAGGAGGAGTTAGTGTATCTCTGCCAAACATGGAGCAAAAGTATACAAGTTTATCCTTTTAAGGGACTGGTTCCAGATCTGGGGCCGGGACCGTTTAAGGAGTTGGAATATGATTAACAAGTTAAGACAGAAGAAGAAAAAACAATTCTGCTATTTTTATTATTTCTTGAAAAATGCTGTATAGTTTATGTCCCCTCAAAAATGATTCAAATGAAACAGTCAGAGAAGGGATGCTAGTGGCCTGTGATGAGGAGTCACAGGCAAATATTGCTTGCTTTTAAGGGTTAAAAGCAAAAAGATTTTGGTTCACATTCAGTGTTCCTCACCAAAACACAGTGTGTATTGTTGAGGCCTGACAAACAGTTAGCCAACTTCTTACTCAAACACTTGTTACTCATCTTGAAGAACTGTTTACCCTGAAACAAATGCAATCTAGCCTGAGCCTTCGGTAATCAGTGTCTGAAGCAGATGGCAAACAAAATCAATGTGCTGTATTAATAAACAAATAATTTAGGATATTTAGATTTTTTTGTGGGTCTTCTGTGCTCCTGACTTAGCTTTACTCCTTTTTTTTTTTCTTCTTTATGGCTTTCCACCATTACTGTTTACTTATTGCCCTGTCATCGTTGATAGGACAAGCAGCCGACCACTAGCCACACCCGTGCAGCCAATAGCATACGCCCTCAATATGCTGAAATCTAAAGCCAGATGCAGACAAACATGGTGAAACAGCCATAAGAGACACTTCCATCAGCATAAGATAATAAGAAAAACTGCAAATCTAATTTCTCCGAATAAAAGTTGCCTCATACACCTTTAACTGATTTCAGTTTTGCAGTAATTTTTAAATTTAACCTCTTTTACTTTGTCATTTGTCATCTCGGTATTTGCATCCCCTCTGCAACATGTTTCCAATACTCACTACCCAAGCCAATATTTCTTCGCCCAAGAAGAACAAACACTAGACCACTTCCCTTCTCTCTTTCCTGGAAACCAAGCACAGGAGTAATTTCAACTCCCTCTTATCTTTCCACATTAAGATTCAGGAAATGTGGAACACGTGTCCACCTTTTCACAGCTGAACTGGTGTCTAGAGCGGGGAGAACTCCAGTGTACCACTCTTCCCGTGTGAGCAGGTCTTAATTCACCCGCTCAGATAGAATTACAGTTCATGACCTGAGCATCATCTGTCCAGCATTAAAGCTGCATTTGTATTCTGTCATAGTGGTGGAAGGGGAATGAGGCTGCCAGGATTGGCTTGACCGCAGGTGATACCTTGATATAGTTTTCCATCTAACTCAGTGATATATGTCCTCCATGGAAATTCCTAGATGACGGTTTTCAGACCTGGGTGTAAGATATATACAAGCTATATCCTAATCCTCTCTCTCGTCTAAACTTACTTGTTTGTGGTTGCTTACCTTGTTGGGTCCCTCTTTTTCTTTCCTTTGTCCATCAGCGCCAGGCACTCAGGCCACAGCTCCCCCAGAGAGGAGTCATCATCTTCGGCCACCTCTCCTTCATCCCAGTCCTCAGTGTCCCCAGGGCCCAAGAGCTTCTACCCTCGTCAGGGAGCTCAATCCAAGTACCTGATTGGCTGGAGGAAGCCGGGCTCAACCATCAATTCTGTGGACTTTGGAGATACACGCAAGTAAGGATGGATGAAGGCAATGAGGAAGGCCACAATAGGCCTTTAATTCTAGTTCCAAGTCTAATGCTGGAGTTGAAGTGTATATAATTACATAAATATTTTAAATTATATGCTTTTAATTATGCTTGTTGTGTTTTAAGTGCCTTGCTCAATGGCATCAGCAATTCACTTTGTCCAGAGGTTTGACCTTACTGTGTCACTATCTGTGACAGCAGGTACAGCAGTATGTTGAAGTGAGGTTCACCACAGCACTTACTGAAGTCAGTGACACAGTCCTTTATCGCTGCTACTAGTGAAACACCAGAACCCCCTGGGTTGACGTCTGCTTCTGTAAACCTAGCAATCCCTGCAGGGACTGGACAAATGAACACGAGCACTTGTACAATATAATGCAATTAATTCACAATCACAGTAGCACTCAATCAAGTCTAAATTTTATGAAATTTATCATTCTGCATTTATGTTGAGACTGTGTCAGAGGTGATACTGGAATGTTCTAGACCACAGTTTACTGTTGTTATGTCAGACTGCAGTTCGCTTGTCTTCTGTATCCCTACATGTGTACTGGAGTGACAAAACAGTACATTACTGGATTTACAATGATAGTATTTATTGCAGGGCGGCTTTATAAGACTGCATTTGATCCCATTACTTGTCCACCCACAGTACTTCCCTATTGATGTCATTTTGTAGTCATAATATATGTACTACTTGATTACCCCCTTGTGGCTGAAGAGAGTATTACACTAAGGGACTAATAGTGATGCAGTACATGAATGCAGTTGGCCAATGAAAAACTACTGTTGAACTCTACTTTTATTATTTATCCACATTTTTATTTGAATATAGGGACAACACGTTAACTGTGTGTGTGTGTGTGTGTGTGTGTGTGTGTGTGTGTGTGTGTGTGTGTGTGTGTGTGTGTGTGTGTGTGTGTGTGTGTGTGTGTGTAGGAAGTCTCCAGGAGAGAGTGGAGGGGAGGTTGTTCCAACACCTGCAGCCAGGCCCTCTCTGCGGGATATGCACTCGCCCCAGCCTCATGCTAAATCAACTATGGAGGAAGACGTGAAGAGGCACAGTGCCCCAGACAGCCCCCCACCACCGCGCAGACACAAGGAAAAGGTGCCTCTGCAAGCATATAACACGGACAATCTGTTAATGGGGACATATTGTAAAAAAAAAAAAAAAAAAAAAAAATCATTGGACAGTTAACTGTTGCTAACAAAGTTTCTGCAGCTTTTATGTTTCAGTAAAAGAAGAAGAAAAGAGGAGCATCTATTATTATTTAAATGTGGCTAGATAAAGCCTGATTACATTGACTGGAGGGTTTTACTTGGAAACCCCATTAAGTTACCAGCTTTCATGAGACCCATCTTAAATGTAATTCAGCTTACTGTTATTGTTTTAAATTGAGTAAGCAGATATCCCGATGCAGCCTTGAGATTTCCCACACCCACAAGCACTAACACTCCTGGCATCTATACAGATGTTCACTCACAATGTATGGTTTCAGATTTTGTATTTTAGTAATATTACACTTCCTCATCACTTACACCCACAATTCCTGTGCAGCATGGCCAGAAATCGCCACCAGGCCAGCCCCTCAGTCGCCGTCGCTCACTCCATCGCACTCTGTCAGATGAGAGCATCTATCGCGGACAGCGCCTTCCCCCCCTGAGCGACACGGTAGCTGAACCGGCACTCGGCGCCGACGTTCTCTTCAGCTGTTCCACCCTCCCACGTTCACCCACCACCCGCGGGGTGCCCCTTCGACGGCCCTCCTACAAGCTAGGTGTCAAACTCCATGGTAAGAGTTCATTCATTCACTTCCAATGATGTGATATGACACAGCAATTAATTCCGATCCACGTGGTTTGTTTTTGATGATGATAAAAATAAATAAATGACTGAAATAAACTGACAGGGTATGTGATGGATCCAATTTTGTTAAAGCTCCAGATGTGGATCTACTGCCCCCTTTTGATTGGAAATACATTAAGGAAATACAAAATATGTTGAAAATAAACTTTACATTCATTTCTTTCCACAACTCAATAATTTTCTGTTTATAGGTGACCTTTCGGCATCCGACACATCACTGGTGGATTTGGTGGAGCGTCACCGTGGACCCCTCCCTCAGGAGCTGATGCCCCTCCCCTCCTCAGACAGGGACAGCCCTCTAGAGTGGACGCACTTGGTGGATGTGGCCAGTACCTTTGAGAGTGAGAGAAACACACACTATGGTATTAATAATTTCTCCTTTTCTTATTTTTCTTTGCACTAAGGAAGTACTGCACTAAGCACTAGTCCTATGATAGAACTTATATATGATATATATATATATATATATGATATAGACTTTGATCATTTCACTGTTTGTATGTTGCACTATGAATAGACTTATCTGCATTTTCCTGCATTTTTCTATTTATTTTTCTTTTAAATTCTAGATCTGTAGCTTTATGTTTTTTCCTTTTTCATGTTTTTGCCTTTGTCCATTTGTGTCTCCCTCCAGTTCAGAGAAGTTATGTGTTTGGGGATTCAAACCACCGGAGCAGTGGGGCCTCCAGTCCACAGCAGCCTCACATAGAGCTGCAGCCTGTTCCACTGTCTCGGCCGTCATCTAGGTAACATCTACCCTATTAGTACCTTGTGAGAGAGAGAGAGAGAGAGAGAGAGAGCGAGAGTACAATTACAGGCATAGTAGTGATACAGAGAAAAGGCTTAAATGCTTACGCACAAGAAATACACCAGAAACACATTAAGTGGCCTCAGCTTGTTGATTTTGCAGCCAATCTATAGACGGTAAAAGTGAGCCCGCTGCCAACTCAACTGTAAAGCTAATCATGGTAACCTATTGCTAAAAAAAAAACACAGTTGAAATTAATTCAGTGAGTCACATCTCAGTGATATTTTATCTTTATTGATGCCACTTATTCATGTCTTTTTGGGTCACATATTATAAATGGTGTTCATTCATGGTTCTGCAGGGTGTGTCAAAGCCCTGATTAAATATATATATATATTTAATATAATTCTACTATCTAATACCAAGAGTGTTTTAACAATGTGTTATTATTGGTCTCTGTTTGTGTGCGTTCCACAGTGAGGGTCACATAGGGCTGGAGAGGAAGGTCACTAAACTGGAGGCCATGGTGAAGATGCTCCAGGAGGACCTGAAGAAGGTGGGAGAGAAAACACAAACATGACACACATGCACACTGTAGACACATGCACAGTACATAACACACACACACGTGCAGAGAGTTCCAGTTCATTTCCCCGCCGTGAAAATGAAAGGAACATTTTTCTGCATGTAGACCGTACCATTTCTACTCTACAGCATGTTGTGCTAAAAGATTATTTTCTGGCTCTCCTTTTCTGTTCAAGAGAGGATGAAAAATTAAAAAAGCTTTGGTTGATTTGCTTACAGTGGAACAGGGAGCAGGGGCATGTAAATAAATACTTTGTCTTCAATAGAAAACACACAGTCAGCAGTTGAGCACCGCCTCTGTTGTTTGGTTCTGCTCCTCTGATTATCATCGACTCAGATTTCACTGCAGTCCCTCAAACTGTTGTTTTCTTACTTCAAATCACCTGGAAGCAGGGGAACGGTTCAACTCTGCTCTTGTATTCTTATGAGAATCATTTAAACTAATGGACTCAAAGGGTTTCCCATCCACTCATACACTCTTTTTCTAGTTTGTGTCTACATTTCAGTTACTTCCACTGTGTTCCCAGGCAAAAACAACTTTCCGGCATCCGGGCTAACTCTCCAGTCAGCAAGTCTTGCATATTTTATGACGGCACAACCATGCTGCAAATACCACATCCACCTACTCCGGAGTCTCTCTTATAAGCAAATTTAGGGTATTATCCTGCCAGAAGTTATCTGTTTGAAAACCAGCGTGGCTGTGAAGACAGTGAGCAACAAGGTTTATCCAGCTCATGATGTTCAGCTGGTGCTACACTTACCCAGTGTGTACTAAGAAAACACTCCTCACACCATTATACCAGCTCCGGCTTCTACTGCTGACCCCACACTGGATTGATCTATATTAACACCAAATTCTGCTGATAAAATCACCACGAGGGACTGTTTTTAATTCGTCCAGCTTTTGTAGTTCCGTCATCTCGTCTTTAGCTGAGAGGACTGGAAGCTAAAAGGTCATCTGCTGCTACGGCACGCTGTTCCTTTTTAAAGGTTTGAGTTGTTTTTATCTGCTAGTTCAGACTTCGCAGCCAGAGAGTTAACAAGTCTGACCTCTACGCAGTGAAGAGTTTTCACCCACAGAATTTCTGCAGTCTGGTTGTGATTTTTTTCTTATGCAATTCTGATTAAACTTTGAGCTTTCTGTGAAATGCTGGAAAGCGATGAGCCAAATACATATTTTATTTTTAAAGTAGCGATAGATGAATTTGACACCAGGAAAAACTAATATGCTTCACTCTTGCCTCCTGCAACCACCATCAAGCCAGTAGCAGTCACCTTGGAGCTGACAGACTGCATGAAGCAACTCTTTCCAGTTTTCCGAGATTTCTTTAAACTGCGAAATGCCAGTGCCTCAATATTTATGTTTGTGCACCCAACTAAGGATTTACTTTTGTTGTGCTTTTGGCAGATTCGAAATGTCAACTGATAAAATCTGCCCACAAATCCCTTAAGTTCTATCTAGTTGTGACTCACTGTCTGCAGGCCCGAGTTGTTTATGTAAACACCAAACAGAGATTATTAGAGACAGACAGTATTGTGTTTATTTTCCTTATTTTGTTGTAGTAAAACATTTGTTTTAATGCATTTTGATAAGTAGTTTTAATTCATTCATGCTGCTCTATGTTTCACAGGAGCGTGAAGAAAAGGTGCGGCTTCAGACTCAGATCAAAAGGCTGTGGGAAGACAACCAGAGACTGCAGGAGGAGTCCCAGACCTCTGCTGCCAAGCTCAAGAAGTTCACAGAGTGGGTCTTCAACACCATCGACATGAACTGACACACCCCTGCACATTTTAACTCGAACACACGCACGCACACAACTCAATACATCAGCACACACAGTCTGGACGGATACGCAGAGGGAGGGGGGTGTCGACACTGTCAAGAAATTGTGCGCAAGAAAAGTGGAGACCTGTTGTTAAGACCCATTTAGTCTGATGCTGAACCCTCCCACTTTCTTCCATTGGCTTCAAATATCAGGGGGTGTTATTGCCAGTCAGTCGCAAATCTCCACAGACCCCTCTGTTAAACTTCTCAGGATGAGAGTCAAGAAAAATTGGCGTCGTTTATCAGATTATGAAGGACTGACCTCTGCTCTCCTGTGGGACCACGAGAGCGTTGCTGAATTGACCTTCCTCTCATCTCGCTGTGCCAAAATCCTTTTTTCGCAAAATTGCTAACAAAGAGAAAGCTCTCCTCCTCCCTCCCTTTTTCTGAAGTCGACTTTGCCTCTTCCGTTTATTCCAGAGGTGAACGTAAATAATCTCCTCACCCCCCTGCCACGTTCTCCCAGTGGACCTGCTTCTCTTTTTTAAGACGACTTTCAATAGATATCTGGCCTCTTTTGTTTCCTCATTGTTTTTGTTTTTTTTTGTTTGTTTTTTTTCCAAATGTTGCCCAGCTTCCCTGAAAGGTGACTTAAGTGTTTTGTGCCAAATCAAACCCACCACAGCAGAGGGGTAGCAGAGACAATCCAGGTGACTTGTAAGTGGAAGTCTCTGAAATGCCACGCAAAGTCAGACACGCAGCAAATCTGCCAGCCACTGAGCGTTAGCTCTAACACAAACTAACACACTCATAATAAATCTAAAGCCACAAGCCCACAGGGACACAGGAGAAGATTTAATTTCCTTCACATGTTAAATGGAGAGTAAAGAGGTCTGTGTTTCCTCTCCTCAAAGCTTAAACCTCTCTGAACGGTCATTGCGGCTGTTTGTCTGTCAGCCAATGAGACGTAGGCAGGTCGATCTGCCTCTGCACCAGAGGAAAATCTGGATTTGTACAGCTATTTTTTTTTCTTTTTCTTTTTTTTCCATTTCTTCTCCTCTGTGTCACTCAGATCTGGATTACAAGATTCTGTTTGTCTCAACAGCACAAGCCAACACTTGACAGAGGAGTATATTTAAAAGCCATCGGCATGTGGTGCCATAAAACAAGACTGATATCCAGAGTGCTTTGGTCCATTGTATGTGTCTTAAAAGCAATAGGAAGAAGTCAGGACTCCTGTATTTCTCTCAACAAAAAAAATGGAGAGTTTGCTCTGGGAAGAAGTTTGATGTGGGAAAAGATGTTTTAAAGGTAAAACTTGTAAGACGACAGTCTCTGCTGCACAAGAACCTCCATCTTTTTCCACTGAACATCACGCTCTGGGGGAAATAAGAAAGAGAGGACTCCACTCATCATGCCACTGTCTGGAATACAGAGAGCCAGCTGATAATAAATGACAGAGACATTTTGGGAGGGAAAAATTAAGGGTTTTCCCAGGTTAATTTATTTCCTTGTATTATAATTCCAATAAATAAGTTGTTCTATTCGTACAGTACAACTGACATCAGTGTTGAGTTCCTCAAGAAAAAGGTCACTAGCTATATTATTTAAATGGCTTTCTTTCTTAATTCTGGCTAAAGCCTGACTATATGCTTTTTATTCTGTATTATGTTGTATTTTGTGATGCCCAAGCCTGCTGTCGTGTTGCTTACAGTGCCCTCTAGTGATGACCAGTGGAAATGTCATGATTATTAAATGTGCCGCCAGTCACTCTGTATTTTTCCAACGCCTCCTCAGCAATCAGTCAGACAAACACACAGGACAGGAAGAGTAATCAGAAGCCAGCTCTGAGAGACAATCAAAGGTTGATTTTTGATAAAGGGAGCAGACCTTAGGTGTACTTGTGTGTATGTGTGTGCGTGTGTGTGTGTGTGTGTGTGTTGTCGGTGCTTCAAACATCTAGTTTTGCTCAGGTTCAGTCTTTGTTGGGGATCTTTTCAGAAAGTAATTCAACAAAAGTTCACTTGTATGGCTATATTAAAATACCCATGATCAGAAGGAGCTACAGTACCTGCCGTACGAGTGGCAGAGTGTGTGTTGTCATTGTGTGAATGTACATCAGTGTATCCAGTCGTGCCTACAGTCACTTATTTTGGTCATTTACTCCCAGGCAGAGCAGGGACGTGCCTTTGAAACAGCACCTGGGGAACAGATAAAAGGGAATGGCTCTTCTTCATCCTGAAAAAAATAAACACACCTGGTAACACACACACACACCCACGCACGCACATACACACACACACACACACACTCTTTTTAAAAAAAACTTATTGTTTTAAACATTTATTGTTCATCAGCATCATATTCACTGTTGTAGATTCAGCCTCATAAATGTTTGTCCGTGGAATCTGCTGCGAGGCTTCAGCCTTTTTCTCTCGCTCAGATGAATATTTTTCACAGACCAGGCAGCCTCCTGATGACAGGGAGGAGAGTGTGTGAAGAGTGTTTGTGTGTGTGTGTGTGTGTGTGTGTGTGTGTGTGCGTGCGTGCCTTTGCATTCAGTTACATGCAGTATATCATTCAGACCAGTTGGCTGCTGTAATAACAGTGTATTGGAAGAACATTTACCCCAGATCACAAAGCTACTTACAACACAAGCAGCAGCCACTGAGCTATTTCCTCAGCCAGGTGTCAAACATGACTACAAGAGTGTTTGGGGGGGTGGGGGGTTATTTCAGGTCACTAACTTGAGTGTGCACATTGAAACTGTTACACAGTAGTGGTGTAAGCCTTAATTCCCTGTCTTCTACCATCAAAGCCCTTTTGATGAAAAAGCATTCCCAGTTTTTGAAACTCTTTAAGTAAATTTGCATCTTAAATCGATGCAATTAAAACCCTGCAGCATATAGCACAAAAACGGCACCCGGTCTGAATGTAAAAGAGAAATATAAACAAGCCTAAAGAAATGTGATGTTTACTATAACTGACATTCAGCTCTGCAGTTCTGCAGGGAGATGAGTGGACTCTTAACTAAAGGATGTAGACGTGTCGGTTCTGTTTTAAGAATCTCCTGTTAGCCATGGACGGTAACTGCACTAGTGGACAGTGAGTATTTGCTTGGTGAGATGATTTTGCTTGTTTTAACAGTTTCACAAGTTGGCCAGTCGGGGGAAAACAGTCCAGCAGTCATGTGATAATGTGAAAAACCCTTCAAATATTAAAAAAAAAAAAAAAAAAAAAGATTAGTTATATAGGCAGAAATGTTCCCGATCCATAAAGTTTTGGTTGTAACTTGTTTGCCATAAACACTGGTTTCATATCCAGAACTACGTGGAAGCTTAATTGATGACTATTAGGTAATGTTTCGTATTTTACTGTACATGGAAAGTGCTCTAGTTTTTTGTATTTCAAATGAAGTATGGCCAAATGATACAACTGTGCAGTGCAGATGTTTTACTCGCATCTTTAAAAGTGTGCATCAGGTTGGATGTTAGATACAGTCGTCAACCTTATACAAAGACGTAAACAGACAACACCGCTCCAGTTCATTTCGTTATTTTTCAATGCAAGTCGTGTGTTTTCTTCCCTCCGCTTTGTTTTTGTTGCTTTTAAGAAGGATATGGGAAATGTGAATGTGCAGATGTTCAAATGTTCCATTTTGTAATATCTTATTTTTGAGATCCTTTGCACAATGTTTTATATAAAGGATTGTGTTTACAGGTTTTGGATATAAGAAGGGTGAACTGGTCCATTCCTGTGCAATCTTCTGTCTAGATGTTGCTCCATAGTTTTCTTGCCAGTGCAGTTCCTGACAAACAGAGGAAGGTGCTTGACTTTATTCACTTCACAAAAAGAAAAAGTGAACCCTCCTTTTCTTTGGGCGTCACTGATCAGACGAGAGCAGGCTGGATGTTGTTTGTTCTGTAGGGATGCTGGTTTTCAGTCGAGCACAACTTGTGAGGTCAGTGATTGCATCAGGGGGAGGAAGGTTACGCTGAGCTCAGAGTCGCGGCTCACACTGCTGTGACGTGTGTGTCTGTCTGTGTTTCCTCCTGTTGGAAGAACAAACCTAAGCAGTAATGTGATCAGCTCTGACTGGAGATAAAGCACAACACAATTTCAAGAGGACCATAGGTTTTGCAGAATTAAAAAAAAAAAACAAACAAACAAAAAAAAACTGTTTACATCCCAGATCCATTGTCTTTGTAAAATGTAAAGGTATGAAAAAGACATTTGCAGTGATCACAGTAAGTTTCTGAAATAAATAAATGCTGTATCGATTTGCGGTGCTGTTGGACTTGTTTGTTTCTGCACTGTAATGCATTTCCTTTTTAATCATCTTCATCTGATGCTTCCTTTTTTTTTTCCCTTTCACTGACATTTTCTCACGTTTTCCTCACTGTGTCTCTCACTGAAGGGAAACAGATTTGCTTTACTCTCTCCTGCAGAGCTTCTGTCTGATTGTATCTTGCAGAGAGTGACTAGAGAGTGAGGAGGGGGTCGAGGCCTGGGATTTACACGGTGTCTCCCTCAGGGTGCTATTGTTCTCCTATGTCACACTGACTCAACTGATTGTACCTTAACTGCTCTCACCAGCCAGAAACCACATCACCTGTGTTTCTTATACACTCATTATGCATGGACGCCACTGCTGAAAGAGATGATGGGAAATGATAGAAACACAATTCAAAAGTTGTTTTTTTTTTAAGATAACTATTCATATATCAACTTCTAAACAGCGCTGTCATTCTATACTAGAACTAAATGTTAAGGTATCAGCCTAAATGACTTCATCTGGACACTGCACCACTGTTTTACTAAAAAAGTTCTAATACTGACAACCGTCTTCCGCAAAAACATCTCTGGTCTTAGTATTAAATCTAAAGAAATTTGCAGGTATCAAAACTAAAAATGATATACTAACCAAAAATGAAAAGGTTTGAGACTAGCAGAAACATCGGGGCACTGTCTGACTTTGAAAGTAGGAAATGCTTGAGATAAGAAATGAAAAGTCAAGATAAAAATTCTTGAAACAAGATTATTTTTTGAGTAAACAATGGTCTTCTTCAGCCAAGTTTTGCTCACTTGTCACTTAAAAGTTGAGACAGAAAGTTCATTTCTTGACTTTGGAAACAGCAGTTGCCAGAACGGGTCACCACAAGTTCCTTTCTAGCTGCTCTACAACTTTTTTTTGTGTGTTTTTAATTCAGGTTAATTTAAATGTTCCAGACTTAATTGTTTCTTCTTCTTTTCTTTTCTTTTTTTGTCACCTGAGGTAACCACGAGGACCCTGAGATGTTGTAATAACAGACTCATGCATTTGTTTAATAATCTAAAGCGAGTGGTGCTTTACAAGATGATTCTTCACCCTCATATGAGATATTATGACTTGAATTTCCCTTTTTTTGCAGTGAGAAAAGAAACATCACGTCTTTATTATGGAGCAAAGAAAGACTATTCCCTCTGCTGGTACCAAACAATGACAAGCATCACCTCAGTTTATTCTCGTTCCTGGAAAAAAAAGACGCGGCTTAATGAGGTGAGGGACTCGTATGAACAGTATAAGTAGTCCTGACTAAAAA